GTATGTTTGTGCTATCAGCATGATGCCATAGACATGGTCTAGAATCTATACCCTTATCCAAATTTGAAGAAGAAAATTCATGAAAGTTGAAAAAAAATAGAAAAACGTTTATCAAATAAGGGTGTAAAGAAAGAAAATATTTTTGAATACCTGCCCAATGTGTTTGTGTGTTAGGACTCACAGAGACTCACCTCTGATACCTGAAGATGCTGTGATGTTTCTAAACTCTACACCCTGGGCTCGGTGTGTCATCCTCTGTGTCCTTTCCCAAGTCCTTAGTGACTTGGCCCATCTCTGTGCAAGTAGACCAATGTTCCAGGATATAGCTCTGGTGTCCCTGCTCCTTCTGGTTCTCTTGGGCATGATCTTCTGGGTACTGGAGTTTCATTTGACATGCAGCCTGTATTTTCCACAGTCCCTTCACTTCTAGATCTTTGTGGAGGTGTATTGTTTTCTGAGTCTCTGGTACCTTCCTTCCTTCCCCTTGTTAAACACCAGGCTTTGTCTTGTGGAGTGAGAGACATAAAGTCATAAAGTTCTGGGTATTCTCCAAAGTGTTCAGACAAATTCTGCCCACTTGCACTTCTCTGACCATCACTGGAAGCTTCTAGATCAGGGGTCAGCAAACTTTTTTTGTTTCACTGCCAGAGGATGTGTGTTAAAGGGGGGAAGGAGAGAAAGCACACCCCAATGGTGTGTAGTCATCTTTTCTCCTTCATTTCTCTGTCCTGTTGGGATTTAGGGCACACAAACACACATGCCTGGTGTATTTTTCAAGCTGCTAGGGACAGAATTTGAACCATAGTTGGCCATGTGGGAATTGACTCCCTTAACCACTAGGCTACAGGGCCAGCTCCCATTTACCATTTCTTTAGCTGGTACTTGCTATATTTATTCCAGGTAGTTGGTGAGCTCATCACTCCTTTTGAGTTTTCTGTTACAATGATCAATTGTAGAAGTTCTCTAAATATATTTTCAGACCACTTGATCAGAATAACCTTGGATATTTGTTTATAATAATGGTTTCTGGGTCTCTCTTTCTCATTTAAGACAGGGTCTTACTATGTCATGATTCTCCTGCCTCAGCCTCTTGAATAGCTGGGATGACACACAGGCCATCACACCTGGCCCTTTGAGACAAGGTCTCAGTGTGTTGCCCGTGTGAGATCTCCTGCTTTAGCTCTTCAAGTCTCTGGGATGACAGACATATGCAACTGTGTCTGTCCTTTAGGTTAGACCAGGAATCAGACCCAGGCTTCCCATATGGCCTTAGGTCTTAGCAACATGTCTTGCCACAACTGGGCTCCTTCCCACTGCCTTGGTGAATCAGAATCTTGGAAGCTGAGCCCAGCAATCAGCATTTTAAACAAACTTCCTAGGTACTTGCTATTCGTGTGTGGTCCTCAGGCCAGCAGCATGGGAGCTAGGTGGCAATGCAGAATCTCATGCCTTCACCTGATCTACTGAGTCAGAATCCACATGTATTATAACAAACGTCTAGGGTGATGCTTTTGCATATTAAAGTCAAAGGAGCACAGGCCTAGGTGAGTATTACATATCCTGGGATGTGAGAACCACTATTTCAATGCCATCAAAAGTCGGGGTGTTCTTAGAGTAAGGGCTGCGTTTAGATGTGGCTCACAGGAAACAGTTACCTAGTGCTATGGTTTGAGTGTACCCCAAAAATGTATGTATTGAGATTTGATTGAGACAGGACTAAGAGGCAAATGCTTAATCAGATTATGGTGTTGAAAGGTGGAGCCTTTGGGAAGAGATCAGGATTAAGATGAGGTGGTTGATTCCTGGTGGATATATAAGGAGATGCATACTCACACACACACACACACACACACACACACACACCAGACACAGCCACTCTGCTCTTGTCCTCGCGATATGATGCCTTAGGACTCTGTCAGACTGTCCCCACAGATGTGACCTCTGAAGTTTGGAGCTCCAAAGTCTTAAATTACCCAGTTTCAGGTATTTTCTGTCATTAGCAATGGAACAGAATAGAACTCTTGGCTTGCTCAGAAGATAAAGGGAATTATGTAGTCTTCAGGTTCCCTTTCTGCCCTTGAGACCCTTCTATCTACAAAGACTTCCCAGTTCTCAGTGCATCCAACTGCAGAAGTGTGTCCTCTTTCCAAACCTTGACGGGTCCTTGCTGACCAGTGTTTCCCAAAGATGTTTAGTCACCGACCGTGGAGTTCCATACTGGCCTCAGATCAACGTTTGTCGGCTGGCTCTGTGTGATTTACAGTGACACTCAAGTGGCTGACACTGTTAGCAAGGCAATCTTATTTGTTATGCATTCGATTCATTTATTCAGCAAGCATATATGGAGTGTTGCCAGGTACTGTCTAGGTGCCACGGAGAGAGTGGTGGATACAAATAAGCTCCATGATCTCAGAGCGCTTCCATAGAGCAGAGGGGAGACAGATAGCTCACAGGCTGGATAACAGTAAGTGCTATGAAGACTACAATGATGACTGACAGAGAATGCGGCATGGTGAGCTCTTGGGGTGCTCTACGGCCATTCTGCAGTGAGTAATCACCCTTTGGTGGGAAGAATGAGCAGCTGCGCCAGTAGCCTATAAAACTGCTAAGGTTGGGATGCAAATCTTGCTTTTACTTAATTCTGTGTGGATAACTGGGGAGGCATGCTTTTCCCATTTGTATCCACCAGAGTACCTTCGAACTTGGCACAGATGCTTTCATATACTCAGACCAAGAAAAGAACAAGTCTGACTGAGCAACCAGTATCCCGTCCCTTCAGCAAACACCTCTTAAATATGCACAGCCCGCTCAGACGGTAAAAGAGCAGACTGGAAGTGGAAGTAACTACAGAGGCACGTGCACCCTTCTCAAAGGATTCTGCTGGTTTCTCAAAAATTACTGAGGAAAGCCACATGTCAGAATATTGACGGGCACCTTCAATCTGTATCAATTCAGCACTATTCATGGCTATTCCAAACACGTTTAACAATGGAAGAATTTGTCTGCAACAGTGGGAGAGAGTATGCAGTTAATACATGTAAACAGCTTCCAGCAATGGGAGAGCTTTTGTTGCTCTTCTCTGAGTGTTTTTGAAATGATTTCTAAATGTATTTGAATCAGATCACATATTTTTTTTTTTTTGAGAGATTTTCACTGTAGGGCGCATGCGCTCGCCAGACAGACAGAGAAAGACATAGAGACAGAAAGCGAGAAATCACCCCCCAGGGGGGATGGTCACGCTGCAATCCCTTCTCCTCCATTCTCCTCTCGGGATCTGGGGCACGCACGCACACGCGCCCGGTGTGAGTTTTAAGCCACCGGGTCCGGGACACGAACCACAGTCAACTACGTGGGAGTCCAGTGACATAGCCATTACGCTAACTGCTGGTTCCCAAGATCACATCTTAATGAAAGCCATTCTGTCGTTTTGTTCTCCCAGTGGCAGCAGAATGCTCTTTCCAGGACTGTCTGCCTTAAAGCCTTCCTCCCTGGGAAGCTAATTGTCTCCTAGCCAATTAGTTGTATTTTTTTTTTCTTTTTACAATTTGAAAAAATTACGATGTAATTCACATAATATAAAATCCATCCATTCGAAGTCTACAAGTCCATGGTTTTTAGTGAATACACAAATTAGATCCGTCATTAACTAATTTCAGGACATTTTAATCACTCCCAGCAGAAGCCTTGGGCCCATTAGTAGTCACCCCCTATTTCTCTCCCACCCAGCCCCTGGCAACTACTACTCTCCTTCCAGTGGTTCTGGATTTGCCTATTCTGGAAGTTTCATACAAGTAGACTACATAGTATGGAACCTTTTGTGCATGGCTTCTTTCAGCTGGGATCATGTTTTCAAGGTTCATCCTTGCTGTAGCATGTATTGGTACTTCATTCCTTTCATGGCTGAGTAATGGTCCACTATATAGATGTACCACTTTTTATTTATCCTCTCATCAGTTCCTGGACGTTTGGGCTGTTTCCACTGTTGGTTATTATTAAGGTGCCACTACGAAAATTTTCATGTACAATGTTTTGCATATACATATGTTTTTAATTCTCTTAGGTGTGTATGTAGGAATGAAATTGCATGATGTCTTGGTCCTAAGTATCGCTACAATGGGTTACATTGAGTCTGGGGTATTTATAAAGAAAAGAGGAGTATTTGGTTTATGATTCTGGTGGCTGGAAAAGTCCAAAAGCGAGGGTCTGACATTCCGCCAGCCTCAGGTGGTCGGTGGGTGTGAGAGAAGCAGAGAGGGAAGCAGGCGAGAGCAAAGAGAGACATACGCTGAATTGCAGTGGGCTTGTTTTGTATCAGTCTGTGTGAGCAGGACTGTGTGAGTCTGGCAGAGACGTGGGAGAGCTCTGTGGAAGACACTTCTGTCCTTGTGATGGCTACGAAGACTTCACGGGGCTGGTTATGAACATTGTGACAAATACTGCTAAATCTTACAGCATTTTTGTCAGGGCCTCATTTTCTCTGGCCTCTAAGTGGTCAAGAATACCTAATAGAGGGGATGGAAATCTTTGAGGAGGGAGATCCCTGCCTGGCCTATACCCCTTTTTGGGAATGGCTGCCTGGTCACTGTGAAAACTCCAGGACAAATCCCAGATCAGCTTGTGCTGGGAAGGCCAGTTCATTAACTGAATAGTGACCTGTCAGGCTCTCTCCCACCCCTTTGTCTGAAATTTGAGACCCAGCAGGCCAGTGTATGTGGTCTCACAGCATTGCTGAAGACGAAGAGCCTAAATAGGAACAGGCTCCCAGCAAAGCGCCTCTCCCACCACGGGTCCCCTCCGAGCGCTGCTCCACCTCTTCCCACGCCCCCTTCTCCCGCCCTCCGCCCCTAGCCCCATTCCCTGGGGTTATTCTTTCCAGGCATTTGAGAAGACACCAACCCAACCGGAAGTCCAGTCCCTGCCGGCTGCGGACACAGACTTGGCTGGAGCGTCACGTCCGGGGCCTGGGCAACCAGCTGATCCTCGACCCGCACCCGGTAACTGCGCCCTGCCGCCTGGCCGCGTCTGCCTCGCCGCCTCCTCCTGTAACCTGTGCAGGATCCTGGGAGGGTGGTGGTGGTGGGGGGTTTCCGATGCTTTGAGCCTTCCGCGGTTCGATAGTTCCTGGAGCACCCCTGAAACTGACAGGTCTGCGATGCGTTTAGCGCTGGGCCGGCGCACCTCCTAGGAGTTTTTTTGTGTGTGTGTGTGTGTGTTTTTTTTGGAGAGATTTTCACTATAGGGCGCGTGCGCTTGCCAGAGAGAGAGAGAGAGAGACATAGAGACAGAAAGCGAGAAATCATCCCCCAGGGGGGATGGTCACGCCGCAATCCCTTCTCCTCCATTCCCTTCTCCTCTCGGGATCTTGGGCACGCACACGCGCCCTGCGTGAGTTTTAAGCCACCGGGTCCAGGACGCGAACCGCGGTCAACTACGTGGGAGTCCAGCGACATAGCCATTACGCTAACTGTTAGCACCCCCTCCTAGGATTTTTGATCTCTCCTTCGGCCTGGCTGGCCAGAGACGGGCGCCCAGAGACTTTAGGGAGCCTGGGGCCTGGCCCGACCTCCACCCTGAGTGCACGATTAGCCCTGGAGGCCAGGTCTCTGCCCTGGCCCCTGCCTTCTCACCACCCTGAGGCCACCCTAAGAGCCCTTCCTGAAATGCCCACGCCCACCTTTGGGTGCCCCCCCCCCCTTTATTGTTGATCCTGGCCCAATGACAGTACCCAATTCAGGACCAGGAAAGTACCAAGTTCTTCCTCTCCTGTTTTCGGAGAGTTAGGTGAAGGCAGAGAAGGGATAGTAAAGGGGAGTTTATTAGAACAGGAGAGGAGAGGAGAAACAGCGCTCAGAGTGGGGATGGGGGTACCAGGAATGGGTTGCTAAAGAGGAGCTGGGGCCAGCAAGGAGGAACTTGTGCATGCATTTCCCTCATGGGGGCTGCAGGTTGGTTTACTTCATCTTATTTGTGAGTGGGTTCACAAAACAAGACTTTAGACATTTACACCTTAATTAATTTATATTCAGCAGATCTTTGTCTGAGGTCTGTGCCCCATGGAATTTCTAGTTTGTATCAATGTTTTTTACAAGTCTAAGAGGAAGCTTTGTTCTCGGATGTATTTTTTGGTTGTTTCTAAAATGTAATCTCATTTAAACCCATGTCATGTTCCCACTTCTCAAAGGGTAGCTGTGGCTAGTTATTGCTCTTAACACTTGGTGCTCTTCTCTCCAGATCACTCTGGAATGTAGCCCTGACTTGGAAGAATGGCAGTTTTAGCTGTCGTTATCTCAAGCAGGCTCTAAGCAGTTCTCTGTGTGAGCAAGCAATGCGAGCTAATCATTTGATTTCTAGTGAGAGCAGCGAACGACTTCTATTAAACACTTGACTGGAGTGACTCCATCTTGTAAGCTGGCTTTATCTTAGAGGTGTCTGCCTTAAATATGTGCGAAAATATATGCCTTTAGCTCACAAGGACAAATGTTAAAAATTATACCCCAGAGGTCACTTAGCCCAGCCCCTATCTGAAGCTTGGAGTCCTTGCACAACAGTCCAGCTGACGTGTTTGATTGATATTCTTCCTTCACTTCACCACCTGCTATGGCCACTAATTCTAGTTCTGAGTTTCTTGGTTTGGTTGACCTTCCATTGAGCTCAGGGACAGCCCTCGCCCTGGTGAAGAGCCTGTGCTAATCTGGCCAGCTCCTGACGTGGCATGTGTAGGGTCAGCCCCATCCTGGTTCCTCCTTAAAGTGGGCAGATGTGCTGTGGTCCACACAGCCCTGGGAAGGGCATTGCAGGACTCTTTCCTTTTGCTGTTCGATGTAGCCCTGCCTGCTCCTGCCCTTGCCCCTGTGCTCACTTATTTTATTACTTTTTTGGAGAGGTTTTTGCTATAGGGTGCGTGCGCTCGCCTGAAAGACAGAGAGAGACAGAGAGATAGAAAGCAAGAAATCACCACCAGGGGGAATGCCATGCCGCAATCCCTTCTCCTCCATTCTCCTCTAGGGATCTTGGTCATGCATGCACATGCGCCCGGCCCGAGTTTAAGCCACCGGGTCCGGGACTCGAATCACAGTCAGCTACATGGAAGCCCAGCGACATAGCCATTATGCTAACTGCTGGTCCTGCCTTGCCCTCACTCTTGCAGGACAAGGGAAGGGCTGCTGTAGCATCTTTGTCAATCTGGCTCTATGATGTCAGTCTGGCTCTAAGACAGAGCCTGGCAAGGCCTCCTTTCTGTTCCTCCAGAGTTTTGAGCAGTTTGTGTTGGTGCTAACCCTTACCACAGAGTCACAGAAATTCTTCTCACTAAAGGCACTGCTCTCCCGGGGCCCCCTGCCCTGTTTGTTTTGTGAAGCACTGTGCCTGCTTTGCTTATCCACTGCAGTTGGCTTTTGGAGTTACCCTGATTTCATTTCTCTGCCGTGGACTCCTATACGGGTGACGCGAGATCCCGGTTTGCCAGAAACGTCTGGCTTATACCCGTTGTCCTCACACAGTAGTGTCCCCTTTCACTTTCAAAGCACTGATGGTTTGGATGGTGATGTTGCTCTGTGTCTATCTCTAAGTTGGATGCACTTGTATCTATAGGACAGGGAGTGGCATGTGGCAGCCCACGAGGGCCACACAGGGCCCACGGGTGTCAGGAAACCAGGGTTCCTCCAGGTCAGTGCTAGCTTGTACCCCTCTTGTAGGTGGGAAGGTTGAGGTGGCTTTGCCCCTAGAGATCAGGGGTTCCCCACCAGTCCTGCACAGAAAACTCCACGAGAGCTTTTTCAAATTCAAATTCTAGTCAAATTCATCCCTAGAGGCAGAGGCCTAACCATTGTGGCACAGTGGTAATGCCAGGGTTCTGCAACCCTGGAAGCTATATGGCAACTGCAGTTCAGATCCCAGGCCAACCTGAGAAACATTCCAGGTGCATGGGCACACAGGCTCCTGAGGAGCTCTAAGGCTGGGGAAGGGGTCATGGTGTGACAAGACTGTCAAGGTGCTTTTCCTCCCCCTCTTTCTCTTTCTTTCCTCTGTGTGCACGTGCACTTTTGATCATAACAGGGGGGGGGATTCATCTCCAGTGTTACTGTGGTACTCTAAAGCCAGAGCCCCTGCATTCACTGCCATGACACAGAAAGGTGTTCAGAGTTCCTTGCCATGAGACCTGGCTCCTGGGAACCAACCAGTGTGGAAGTGTGACCAAAGTTAGGCCTGGGGTGCCCTCGGACTCCCCCCATCAGAAGACTATAGAACTCTGAGTCCATACAGAGCCATGGCTAGAGAGAATTAAGGGTGACATGTCGGCACTTTGAACTATTCTCGGATTAGACTGAGAGGTAGGGCACTGGCTGTTGACCAGGATGACCAACCATCGTAGTTTGCCTGAGAGCAAGGGGTTTCCTGGGCCAGGGACTGAGTTTTAAAACTGGGAAAATCTCTAGCAAACTAGGATGAGTCGGTTACCCTGTTCCCAACTGCACATTGGGTTCACTTAGGGAGCCTCTTATTTAGTAAGTCTAACTTAATTGATCCAGGTAGGACCCAAAGGTAAGTATTTTTTTTTTTTTAAGTTTATTTATGTCTTCCATGAGCAAGAGAGAGACAGGCATCTCCCACAGGATCCCAATGCCACGTTCCTCTCCCAGCCTTAGCCAGTCTCTGATCATGGACACGGGCCCAGCATACTCGGGGAGCTCTTTGGATGGAGAGATCTCCAGGTGTGTGGCATGCACCTCACTGAGTGCTGGCCCAGAGGCTAGCTAAGAGGGCTGTGTGTAGTTGAGCTTCGCCCAGTGGGATTCAGGGAACTCAGAGACCAGGCCCCTCAGAGACTGTCCCTTCTGCAGGCCTCCAGAATCATGTGGTATGTCAGCACCCGAGGGATGGCCCCACGGGTGGACTTTGAGGGGGCGCTCTTCTCTGGCTATGCACCCGACGGAGGCCTCTTCATGCCCGAGGAACTCCCGAAGCTGGACAAAGAGACCCTGTGTCGGTGGAGCACGCTCTCCTATCCTGGCCTGGTGAAGGAGCTGTGTGCCCTCTTCATCGGCCCTGAGCTCATTCCAAGAGATGACTTAAATGGTGAGCACCCCCACCCCTACTTCTGCCCTCCAGCCTCCACCAGCTCAGGCCCTCCAGAGTTATAAATCCGTCAGCAACCGCCAGGAAGTCTCTAGCTGCATTTCTCAAACTCTGGGTTTTTCCTGACACTAGCATCCCAGAATTAGACATCCCTGAAGAGCTTATCGAGTGCAGTGAGAGGAATGCTGAATTGATCTACAGAGATTTTTTTTCTCTCCATGCAGTTTACTAAAAAACAAAACAAAATCAAACACAAAAAATCCTCTTCCAGACTTGGGATTTTACAATGATGAGTAGCTTGAATGTTGGGATGTTTCCTTTCCGCACGTAAAGCACCCAGACCTCAGATTGCTGTTCGATTTCCTTGAACGGTAATGTCAGGTAATTGGAGAGTGTCCTAGAGTATTTAAGTAGCTTATCTTAAATTGTCATGTGCCCGTGATTTCTCTGGAGAGCTTTTTGAAAAGCAGATTCTGATTCAGTCGGTTGGGGTGAGCCTGAGAATTCTGCATTTATACCGAGTGTCCAGATACCAATGCCATTGGTCCATGGACCACATTTTGAGTAGCTAGAATAAAATCCATAATGCAGTGGTGGGTGTTCGGGGTTGGGGAGGAGGAAGCACCCTTGACCTGTGCAGGCCAGGGTTGGTGGCACCATTGTAATGGAATACGCCATGGTGCTGAAGCCACTGGGGTTGCATCATGAGTTCTCCCCGGATGTACTGGGTACACGACCATGTGCTCGTGATGGGGGCTGGCTGAGGCTGGATCATGATCAGAGTATGAAGACCCTGGAAGGGGTGCTTCTCTCTCTCCTCACTCCCTGAAGGAATAAATAAGCTTTTATTTTTTTGGTAGAGGTTTTTGCCTTAGGGAGCATGCACTCACCAGACAGACAGAGAGAGACATAGAGACAGAAAGCGAGAAATCACCCCCCAGGGGGGATGGCCACACCGCAATCCCTTCTCCTCTAGTTTCCTCTTAGAATCTTGGGCATGCACACATACACGCCCAGCGTGAATTTTAAGCCTCTGGGTCCAGGGCCTGAACCACGGTTGGCCATGTGAGAGTCCAGCGCCATAACCACTATGCCATGTGCTGGCCCCTAAATAAGTTTTTTTGAAAAATTGGTCCTACGACCAGCAGTGGTGGCACTGCCTAGGCACTTAGAAATCTCAGGCTCCCTCAGAGCTACTGAACCAGATGCTGTGTTTAACAGAACCCCATGGGTTTGGCATGTCATGAAAATGTGGGGATCTGTTCTCTAGACTGTCCTGGATTATGTACTGTCTCAGGGTTCTAGAGTCTTAGATGTGAGCTTGAGTAATGCAAAACAAAACAAACAAATACACAAACAGCTTCCTACCTTTAGAAAGGAAAATGAGAAGACATGAGACATTGATTTGTTTGTTATATAACTATTTAATGGACTATTATTCTATTAGAATACATGCTTGTAAGGAATTCAAAAAATAAAGACATCTACAGAGTTGAGGATGAAAGTCTTTGTCCTAGTTCTGGTCTCTAGAGCAATCGCTGTGCGCAATCTACAGTAGTTCGGTACATGTACATGTCTTTTCAGCATTTTTTTAAAAGTTTATATAGTGATGTTCATAAAATAATAGCAATTTCTGGTCTTTTTACCAAGAAGCAGGAGATGGAAACCTTAAATTCAGAGTGTTAAAGAGAGGAGAGAGAACTTGGGAGACGAGAACATGCCCTTCATCATCTGTGTAATCCCCCCTCCCTCACAGATCTGATCGACCAAGCTTTCAGCAGGTTCCGCCACAGAGAAGTGGTCCATCTGTCCAAGCTGAGGAGTGGGCTGAGCATGCTGGAGCTGTGGCATGGGCCCACATATGCATTTAAGGACCTGTCTCTGAGCTGCACCGCACGGTTCCTGCAGTACTTCCTGGAGAAGCGAGAGCGGCACGTGACCGTGGTGGTAGGTGCGTGCTCTGGTGTGAGCGCTGGAACCCCTCAGTGCCCCGAGTGCAGGATGTGCATTCACCAGATGTCTCCCCTGGATCGCTCTGGACTGTGTGGTCAGTTCCTCCAGAGCAGAGCTCCTAACCTTTTCCTGTGTTGTGGACCCCTTTGTCAGTCCAGAGAGGGTATGGCTGTTTCTCAGAGTAATACTTTTGAATAGGCAAAGTACTAAGGTCAGGTGGTACCAAGTTCACCAACATTCTGAATGGTGTCCATGGCCCCATGGCCCCCAGGCTGAGTACTAGGTTCCCATTCTCCAGGATTCGAAACAGATGTTGCTGCATCTGGCAACGCTGCTTCGGCACCATCTCCTTCCTTTTCTACCCCCCTTTGCTCTAAAGTGGAGGATTCTCCTTTTTCCCCTTCAAGGAACTTCTGGGGATACAGGGAGTGCTGCCATTGAGAGTGTTCAAGGGGCAAAGAACGTGGACATCATCGTCCTGCTGCCCAAAGGTCACTGCTCGAAGATTCAGGAGCTCCAGATGACAACCGTGCTGAAGGAGAACGTGCACGTGTTTGGAGGTCGGTGCTGAGGCCGAGGCTTCAGGGACGCCGTGGCCCTGCCTGGCTGGGTCTGTTTTGGGAGATGGACTGGGACAAAACCGCTGAGTTGACCAGCTCACTGGCCTTCCTCCTCTTCTTTCTCTCTCCCTCCCCTCCTTCATCCGTCATGTTTTGAGGTTGGCATATATATACGCTGGCTTTGCACTGGGCAGGCCCTTGATTATATAGTGTCGTAAACCACTGGAGGTGACAGATGCTACCATGAAGGTTCGGACTGCTGGCGCCATAAGTGATGTGATGGCAGCCATGTAAGTTGTATCCTGATCCAGGAGACTTGGTTTTGTTTCAGGACCTGAAGTTAGCGGGTATGACCTAGTTAAATGACGATTGAAGAGAATGTGTCATTACATGTTGACAGTTCACACCCCTTCCTCACAGTATGGGGATAACTAAGCCAAGCACTTGGTTAGAAGGTCAGATATTTACAATGGAAGCTACTGAGTAGTACTCATCAGTAGTTACATTCTTTCCTGAACCATGTCATAAGCATCAGAGCACCTCATGCTTGGAGAAAGGCAAAAGCCATCTCCTTTGATGTCTGACCACCTATTCACATGGACTTAACCACTAAGGGGACTGTTGGTGGGAATGAAGGGGTGAGGGGGGGTAGCGCCACATGTTGTCATTTCCCCCTCTCATACCCCAGTAGCCCCCAGGTGGGGGCAGGAATATGAACAGTATGGGATCTGGTTGAGATTTTGTGCACTGTGGCCTCGGGCAGGTTGACCAGGTGGCCTGGCTTACTTTGGTCACTTGCCTGATAGGACTGCAAGTATGATGGCAGAAAATATTCCTTCTGCAACTGGCCTGGCCTCGCATTATTATGTGGTAGAGGATGTTATTCTATAATACCCACTTTGCCAAGGAGCAAAAGGACAGTGAAACCAGCCTTGCCCATGGGAGTGGCATTAATATCCTTTGTCTGGTTGCTCAAGAGCAAGCAAGCCAAAGGTCTCTCACTCTGCTATTTGCTTTAGCAAGTGTGTACACATTCCAGCAAAAAGCCTAAGGTTTAGTTAATGTGGCTGTCGGTAATAAAAAAAAAAATATATATATATATATATTTTTTTTTTTTTTATTGGAGAGGTTTTTGCTATGGGGCGCGTGCACTTACCAGAAGGACAGAGAGAGGCAGAAAGCGAGAAATCACCCCCCAGGAGGATGGTAACGCCGCAATCCCTTCTCCTCCATTCTCCTCCCGGGATCTTGGGCACGCATGCACACGTGCCCGGCGTGAGTTTAAGCCACCAGGTTCAGGACTCAAACTGCAGTCGACTACATGGGAGTCCAGCGACATAGCCATTACACCAACTGCTGGTCCCGCTATTGATAATATCTTACTGCTAACCGTGGTAATGACACACAAGATTCAGGCTCCTCAGGGTCCCTGTTTATACCCCCAGCACCAAAATTACTAGTAATGGATCTCAGAATGTGTTTTTCTGGAATCAAAGCAGGAAATGGTGCTTTGTCCCACTGTCCTGCCACCTACTCCCTTCACCTTGAACATGGGTATGGGAACGCTTTTACATAAAGATGAAGATGGACGCTCCATTCCTTACCTGTGGTTGGAGAAAGGTTGCTTGTGCAACAGTGGCAGAAATGTGACTGACAGAGAGCTTGTGTCATAGATGTGTTATTGCTTGAGCTGAAGGAATGTGTCTGTTTTGTATATGTTCTGAGCTTCAAGAATATAAGGAAGTGTTTTTTACAGAACACAATTGTATTTATAAACAACACTGTCCCAAATTCTTCCTTTCCTTTCTGGAGCCTTCTGTTTTAGTTTCAAAAGATGGTGGGAACCAGCAGTTAGCGTAATGGCTATGTCGCTGGACTCCCACGTAGTCGACCGCGGTTCTTGTCCCGGACCCGGTGGCTTAAAACTCACGCCGGGCGCGTGTGCGTGCGTGCCCAAGATCCCGAGAGGAGAATGGAGGAGAAGGGATTGCGGCGTGACCATCCCCCCTGGGGGGTGATTTCTCGCTTTCTGTCTCTATGTCTCTCTCTGTCTGTCTGGCGAGCGCACGTGCCCTACAGTGAAAATCTCTCAAAAAAAAAAAAAAAAGATGGTGTGTGTTCAGAAGCTAACAACAGATATGTGTTTTCCCTTAGACTGGTGAGCTCAAGAAATAGTGGGCCACCTGGATTACTGTGTGTAGACACTGACTACCCACAGTAGTCCTAAAGCCATCAGTGTCCTGTGTTTATAAAGTGAATGGTTTATAAAGTCATCAATGTCTATAAGCATTATACACTTGGTTCTCCGCCTCCTCCTCCTCCTCCTCCTTCTTCTTCTTTTGTTGTTGTTGCTGTTTACAAGCAAGAATGCTTGTTTGCCAGAGAGAGACAGAGAAAGAGAAGAGGGAGATGGAAGAAGCCCCCCAGTGGAGTATGGTCACACACACTGCAATCCCTTCTCCTCCATTTCTTCAACCTGTCGGGGTGTTTGGCATGCACACAAACATACCCAGTATGTTTCTAAGCTGCCGAGGCTGGGATTCAAACTGTGTTGACCTCATGAAACCTGGCTCCCTTAACCACTAGGCCATGGGACTGGCCTGTACTTGGTTCTTCTTAAGCACAGAATAGTTAGTCAGTGTGAGGTATTTTACTTATTCATTATGTTATTTAGGATGCTTTTGGCTAGATGTAATAGGAAGTCCAATCCAGGTCAGCTTAAACAAGAATATTTTCTAGTTTACAGTAGGCATGGTAGCACATGCCTATAATCTAGCTACTCAGGAGGCTGAGGTAGGAGAATCGTGGGTTTAAGGCCAACCTGGAGAACATAGTGAAACCCTGTCTCCAACAACAACAAAAAACCAGCAGATATTTTTCATTCCTATCACTTGCTCACAGAGTTGAGGAGTTGAAGTGGGCTCCCAGTTGGTGACGCAGTAACTCACGTGCCTTTGAGACCTTTGATTCTCTGCCCTGCCTTCCCCAGGCCTAAGGCTTATTCCTCCTGTGGTCACATGATGGCAAGTTGAGGTCACCGAGTCTCTATCTTCCTGTGGTTCTTTCTTATGGGCAGTAAATCTTTTCCTAGAACCCTGACAAACATCCCCTTGTGTCTAATTGGTTTGAATTTAGTCACCTGCTCTTCTTGGAGCCAACTCTTGACCCCACAGGAATG